TAATTAAAAAAAATTGCATAGTCAGCATACTTTTAGCAACAAGGATATAAGAATGTTAAATTGGACAATACCTTAAAGCTTGCACATTTGACCAAACAGAAAGGGCATGCAAAGTCCTCCGTCACTGTGTATAGAGATGTTAAGTCAAGCTTCATTTAAACTTTGCAGCAAGATGTAAGGATAAAAGCTATCTCACACGAAGAATAAAAACTGGAATAAGAAAGTTGAACAAAAAACGAAAAGATACACGTGGGGACAAAGTTAAGTCAACTTTAACTTGTAAAATACCTAGGGAATTGGTATAATTGATGGACTACCAAGTATCAACCAAAACAATCACAAGAATGAACTATCATAATGACAGGATTATAATGATGCAAAAGAACTAAGACGTCCCATCATGACCCATGACACAGTGCATCCACCTACCAAGACATATACTTGCACTGTTCACTCACTGCAAATTTTCTGGCACCTTTCTGGACATTTTACAGTCGCATAACTTAGACTATGGTCGTAATTAGTCATAGATATTTCACAACACATTTGAGAATGAGTAGTTAATAAATTCTAAGGAGTCCTAAAACAACGTGGATTAATGAGTAGTCAACCTTTACCTTCAACAATTTTCTAGGCAGTTGAACCTTTAAATGTGTATTTAGATACAAACATAATGCATAAAGGTTCTACTATAGAGAGAAATGAAGAAAGTAATGGCTCCATTCAGTTGTTTAAGACCCCACCCTAATCAAGATATCATGCACCTAACTATACTTGCAGCACACAACTTTTGATAATTGACAACTGAGATATTATGACCTCAACTTCCATCTAACCACTCCGAATCTCGACTGTGTCGCATACAATTAGAAATGCAAACAACATTTGAAGGTGAAAGAACAAGCTACCAGTCACAGACATAAATCATTTATCACAAAATTGGTGACCAACTTACCTTCAGTTCTCTGCAACTTGTTATTATAGTATTTGTAGTTGAAAACAACATTCCCAGTCCTCAACCTAGACAGCACCAACCAAGAAAAACAGTGAACTCCTGAACTGCTATGCAAGAGCACGATTTCTTAACAAATGAATTGAAGGTACGGAAGGGTGTAATTCCTTCCGAAGGGATGGGGAAAACAAAGATAGAAAAAGACAAGGAACAATTCTACTCCTGCCACACATAAAATCCATATATCTTTACAATCAGTCAAATGTTATGGTCCCTACTTTCTAAATATTAAATCTCCATTATAAGTCCTAAAGCAGCAAATTTCACATACTTGATAATATAATCTCATTGGACTATACCAAACACGGTTTTACTCATGCTACAGCATTTTAATTTGGACAGATAAAACAATTTCATTCAGTTAAAGGTTGATGGTTAAGAAATATGAACTCACGGCATAATATCATTACAATCCAAGACTAATTCTTCTAGTCAGAATTAAGAGATGAAAAAAGGAAAGAAAATAGAATCTGTAATAGCCCTTTTTGTTATTGCAGACACTAAAAACATTGAGCATGTGTTGCAATAAAGCATCCTCGTAGGAAGTGGATTCCCCATGAGCATCTTACAAATGATTTGACTAAGACTGATTTTGACATATTTTGATCCTTAAGATTGGTAACTCCATCAGTATTTTTTTTGCCTGAGAATGTAGTTTACGAATGTCATGCACGTCAACATGCATGAGAGAGGTTGTGAGAGAGTTCACCTAATAATCTGAGGTAAAGTAGATGAAGGGACGTCGTTGTATGAGAAAAAATCATAAGGAGACCTCTCCTTGGCCCCAGCTTCTTCGGCTACAATGCTTACTTGCAGTTGTTGAGAAATAGCCTTCGGCAAAGAAGATAGCAAATAAACAACAAAGAAAAGCAATTCAATGGAAGAAAAAAACTTATCTAAGAATCAAATAGAAGTTAGATTTTTTTCTTTTTTTTATCTTTCTTCTCAAAAAGGATGGGGTGTACCGTAACTCCTGCATGAGGGCTATGAAACGAAAAACATTTGTCTTCTCCGAAACAGCTCGTCTGCAAAAGAGAAACTGATTTTAGAAAAAAAAAAAAAAAAAGGGAAAGGCAATACAAGATGATTCCAACGTCTGAAAAAGAATCTCAAACTGAATCAGAAGGCAACATATGAAACATTTCGGAGGAACAGACTCAAGAAATAAACTGATTATATATTAGCTTACTTTTAATATTGATAGGAGAACAGTTTTTCTTTGGGGCTCAGCGAGATCCCGCTGTTGTTAAGGACGAAGAGTTTATGAAACGAGTAAAATATTGTTTTAAGGGTTAAGCAGGATCCTTGGACTGTTTCTTTTTTATTATTCTCTCTTAGAATGAGGATAGTTATTGGTCCCTCAATTCCCCTCTGGAATCCGGATGACTCGATCCCATGACCAACTAGGTCATAGGAGCAAGGTGCTACCAACAAGCTACCTTGTCTTGTCACAGGATCCTGGGACTTTAAGGAGGAAATTGTGCTCGAATACTATGGAAGTGAGTTTGGGAAAGAGATAGGTGGATAAAAAACATGTTCAACAACAGACATTAGGTCCAACATGTTCAGGATTCATTCTTCCATCAGAACAAGAAGTGTCCGTGTTTAGAATGTGAAGTAACATACTGAACAATGGCTGAACAATGGTATTCACAAATTATTTTGATTGAATACCTTCATGAAGCAGGAATGCAAGTCGACGGTCGACAGCATCTCAGCTCTCCCCCCACTACTCAATGTCAACGACTTCTCCCAAGATAATTGAAGTAATTCCATTGGGATTTTACCCAGTAAGCATTGGCCTCCAGCATTAGCTACGATAATAAAATAATTATATTAGCAAGAAGCTGTAGATGTTCACAAGAAGCGAATGCAACAGAGGAAAAAAGAAAGCATATGCAAGGCAGAGCCTAGAACCCTATTAAATTGAAAATATTACTATATATAAAAATAAGTACCATGGATCACTTATTTACTGTTATTTTTTGTCTATCCCTGACTGACAGATTGCTACTCATACTAAGAGATATTTCAAGCACAAATTCCAATAATATTGTGATTCCTGTCTTCTTGTTTGTTAGAAACAAAAGATTTGTACTACGCACTCGCCAAACCACCCACCTACTTAAAATTGAAACTATGTTACAGAAGAGTGAGTAGCCAACTGAACTTTACCTCAGTAAAGCAGGGAACTCCAAATATCAGTTTCTAAGATAGAATTATGCATATTCCTCTCTTAGCATTAAGCAGCAAATTTTAGTTGCAAAGAAAGGTCAAACAACGTACCTGGGAATGATGACCCTTCCACATGCTCCTTAAACAATTCAGCTGCAAATGTGGAAAGCATGATTTTTTTTGCCAAAAGAAGTACCCGTTTGTGCAGGAACTAAGTAGAAACAGAGATAACCTACCACAACTGATAAACAAAATAGAAAGTGAACCAGATTTGACTTCTGCTGATAGTTTGTTGATCTCGGGGAGAATAAAATTCGCTTGATCTTGGTTCATTCTATCATCTCCAGTACATTTAGTCAATATACATTCTCGACTGTAATTATAAACTGCTGAATCCTGCATCAAGATATAGAATCAGAGGGAAAAGAACAAATGAAAGGATAACAGTGAAATATCCAATGAAGTGAAACGAGCTCATACACTACCTCTACAACCGCAGGACTATAAACTGGTCTTGCTAAAATTATACACAAAGGAAATAAATTTTGAATTCTAGATTCATCATTTACAATTGACGGTAGCGAGATTGTCATTTGAATCCTGGGAATAAGAAAACACAGAAAAGTGCATCAGTCATGTCAAATCAGTGAGAAATATGCATCCCAAATCCAAATATCAAGCACGAACAAATGGGGGAGGGTAAGAGGAGAAAAATATTAAGGAAGTAAATCGAAGGAAGCTGGATTGCAGCTTCCAGCAAACATATCACAATTAATCCATTATGATGCATGAACTTCCTTTATTCTATAGATTTAGGCCCCTGGGAGCTATGAACAAAAAAATGGTTGTTCTATCTATAATATCTATTTACGACCAGATCATTAGAAAATCAAATTATGCTCTTTGAGTAAAAAGAAGACCAAAGAGATTGATGAAAATCATAAGATCGGAGCCAAAGAAAACCAGGAATGATTTTGTTATCCTTAAAAAATAAAAAGCATCAATAGTTTAAAAAAAAGTTTGGGTAGAGACATGGATAAATAAGAACTAAAGAAAACCAATAACCACAATATCTTAAGAAAAAGGCGACAGCTTTTTTATGGGATTACATACAGAAAAAAATAGTGCTTACTGCTTCAAAAGGTATCAGAATTCCTAATATGTGAGAGGCTGCAGACAGATCAGCAATTTGTTTGAATAATAAGACCAAGATACCTCAAAGAATTGTACCTTTTTTTGTGTTTTGCTTGTATTTTGTATCGCAGACATCTTTGAAGGAACGATGGCTGCAAAAAGAACCTGCCTTTAGTAGAAATTCTAAATAAACTAAAGGAGAATAAAAAAATTTATCATGAAGACAGCAGTGAAATATACAGTTCCCAAGATTGTTGATAACCAGATTACAATTGGCTTGGCCTTTCCAGAAATAGTACCGGACGATTCGACTATATATTAAAAAATGTAACTCTCGAGTAAATAAATATATCAAAGAGTGGTGAGGGGGCGAAAAGATAGAGAGAAGGAAGAAATTCACATTTCTGACAGCACGGCGCTGAAGAATATTGTACAATTCAACTGGCTTGCAGTAAATTGAAAGGCTCGCCTCAGCTGCAATCTGCTCTTCTGCAGACAAATGTGCACGGGGATCTTGGCGACACATGTGATCTGCACCTCTAGGGTAACTGCAATTGCAAACACAATTCCTGTTCCAAGTATCACAATGATGATCTCAGTTTATCTCTAACAATCACATTTCAGGTGCAGTCATCTTATTCGAAACCTAAGATACCAAAATCATAGAGTATCGACCTCGACTCTGTCTGCCATTTGATAAATTAAACACCGAGACGAAAAACGAAATACCAAATTTCAAATTTTCATGTCTTGAATTCGATATTCCTTAACATTCTCATGCGCCTTATATTTGTCGTATAGAGCATGGACACAATGAATAACAATAGTGGCACTGCTACGTTCGAAGACAAAACTATATTGTGCAATTGACTAAACAGTACCGCAATCACGCAATCCCTAATTCTCCAATATAATGTCCAATTTGTAATTTTTAACAAACGCATCAACACGAATCATCATGAATTATTTGCATTTTAGACTAAGCGACTAATGGAAACACCAAACCTTTAAGTTCAATCTAATGGTGTAGGGCATGCTATAATTTCCATAATCGCTTATACTGTATTATATCTAACCATTATCGTGAATAAGATCAATTGAAACCGAAGAATGAATAAACGCATTTATAACCTCGACAAAGTGTATATAATGTGCATAGGCCGTAAAATCGAGACTCACGCAGTTTCACGAGCCACGAGAGGAATGCCTGGCATCCTTGCTAGACGGAATTGATGAAGTTATACATAGCTCTCTAAGATTTCCTTCAAAATTGCCAAATAAATTAAAGCTCCAAACCTGAAATCAGGACCTTTGATTTTCAGATGATAGATAGATACAGTTCGAAATTGACAATAACAACAGATTGAATTGAAAATTATAACCCTAGATGTGTGAATTAAACGTTGCGATCTAAATTCGCAGCTGGAATAAATGAAGAATCGTCAAAACATAAGCAAAAAAATACAAAATTTAGAGAGACCGATTATCAAAAGCCCTAACTTGGTATTCCTTCGGACAACCTTCAACGGAAAACAAAACGAAAAAAGAAGAGATTTTTTATGAATCGATATACTTATGCATTCCGTATAGGTATTGTATACATTGAAGAATTTTGAGCCTGTAGAGAAAGAGAGAGAGAGGGGGGGGGCGGGGGTCGAGTTTACCGAGTTGACTCGTTTTAGCTGAGAAAACAGTGTGTGCCTGATGATGGTGGCGTTTGTCCGACGTTTGTGTTGCAGTTTTAATTGTCCGGGGTAAAAAAGTGATAAATAGTTATATTTATTTTATTATCAGTTCTTGATTATTTTTCCGAATATTAATGCCATACTTTTTCTAATATTATTTTTTTTGGAGATGGATCGGAAGACATATATAGTATATTTCCTTCCTGAATTAATTTCTAATGTGGTGTATTGAAAATTGAAATTTGAATTTCTATATTGATCAAGTTTTTCTTCGAAAATTAAATTATTTAATTAATTATTTGTGAGTGATCTTTGTCTTTCATTAATATATAGGATAATTTGTTAAACACCTCTCAACATTTTTTATTTATTTTTTACTAAATTCAAGTCATTTACAAAGGAAATTATGGATAACTCTCCCAACATTAACATTTTTTTTTTTTTTCAGATTAGAATAGAAGGATTTTTCCAAATTGCTAAAAGTCCTTTGTTCCTTAGTGCGTCTTCATCCCGTCTAACTAACTGCAATCCATTGGATTCGTCCCTCCTCGCTGCACTCCGTCAAATCTGCCATTCAGCCGTTGTCATCGTCGAAGTTCTACCACACGAACGCACACACATAAACACACACGCACGCACACACATAAACACACACGCACGCATACACATACTGTTTTGGTTACACTATTTCTCTATTGTTGTAACCTTATAATCATGGGAAACAAAAAGGAAAAAATATGAACTTCATAGTAAAATTACATGAAATACATATTTTTTACTAAACTTTTGCTCATTAATGTAACCAAGTTCTGTAAATAAGTTTTCTAAGTTGGTTGTGAAAGTCGTGGTAACTACTATTAGTTTTAATAAACAATTCCGTTAGAGCGACTCCATATCTAGCATTAGATCCAGATAGACCTGACCACAATTCGGTTCGGTTCCGGTTCCGGTTCCGATTTTGGAGGAACCGGAACCGAACCGAAAAAATCCGGTTCCTTGCGGTTCGGTTCCTAACCGGTTCCGGTTCGGTTCCCGGTTAGAACCGGTAGAACCGCCGGTTCTTAATAATAATAATTTTTTATTATATATATATATATATATATATATATATACTTTAAAAACTTAAAAAAACACTTTTAAAAATAGATTTTTTTTTAAGTGGAAAGTATATTTAAAAAACTTAATTGGAAAGTATATATATAGATAGAGAGAGAGAGAGAGAGTATATATATATATACATACAGATATATAAATATATATATATATATATATATATATATATATATATATATATATATATATATATATATATATATATATATATATATATATATATATATATATATATATATATATATATATATATATATATATATATATATATATATATATATATATATATATATATATATATATATATATATATATATATATATATATATATATATATATATATATATATATATATATATTATATGTCACGTGTCTTACTAATTGTTTAAGTATCTCTCTAAGTCGATATTTTTAAACCGAATGGCCTGTTTTAACACGAAAATCGGATGTCATAGGATGATTGACACGTGAGTAGTTTAAATAAAAATATAATTAGGATTGTAATAATTGAAAAAAAAAAAAAAACCCTAGTATAACCCATAACCCCTCTAACCCTAATTATAATAGCGAGATTTATGAAGAGTTAAGACTTAAAAGTGCCACATGTCAAAAAAATAGTGGAATCCGATTTATATTAAATATCGGTTGATCCGCTCAGAATTTAATCTCTTTAATTAAATATAGTTCCCAAACAATATCTAAG